CAGCCTCCCGAGTAGCTGGGATTACAAGCATACACCAGCACGGCCTGGCTAATTTTGTATTTTTAGAAGAGACGAGGTTTCTCCATGTTGGTCAGGTTAGTCTCAAACTCCCAATCTCAGGTGATCCACCTGCCTCGGCCTCCCAAAGTGTTGGGATTACAGGCGTGAGCTACTGTGCCCCGCTGCAGCTTTTAAAAAACTGAAGCTCACTCTTAGGTATTCATCAGGAGACATGAAAACATATGCTTACAAAACAAACAAACAAACAAACTTGTACAGAGATGTTTATAAATGGCTTTATCTATAATAACCCTAAATTGGAACAGCCCAAATGTCCAACAGGAGACTATGCAAATTATGGCATATCCATACAATGGAACGCTATTTAGCAACAACAATAAAATGAACAGATATACAACAACAGGAATGAATTTCAGAAGTAATTAAACAAAATAAATCAGACCCAAGAATAGGTATTGTATGATTCCATTTATATGAAGTTCAATGGACCCGACCAGTCTATAGTGACAGAGATCAGAACGTGGTTGCCTGCAGGAGCGTTACTGGAAGGGCAGAGAGAACTCTGGGCAGGAGGATTATGGAATTTGGTTCGTTGTTTACAAGATGTAAGCATTTGTCAAAATCGTTGGATTGTATACTTAAGATCTGTGCAGTTTCTAAACTTAATCTCACCTCTATCTATCCATCTATCTATCTGTCTGTCTATCTATCTATCTATCTATCTGTCTGTCTGTCATCTATCTATCTATCTATCTATTTAGAGGCAGAGTTTCACTCTGTTGCCAGGCTGCAGTGCAGTGGTGCGATCTCGGCTCACTGCAACCTCCACCTCCTGGGTTCATGTGATTTCCCTGTAGCAGCCTCCCAAGTAGCTGGGACTACAGGTGCGCAGCACCACGCCCAGCTAATTTTTTGTATTTTAGTAGAGATGATGTTTCACCATGTTGGCCAGAACGGTCTCAATCTGCTGACCTCATGATCCACCCACCATGGCCTCCCAAAGTGCTGGCATTACAGGCGTGAGTTATCCGGCCCTTTTTTTTTTTTTTTTTTTGAGACAGAGTTTCACTCTTGTCACCCAGGCTGGAGTGCAAGAGCACAATCTCAGTTCATTGCAGCCTCTACCTCCCGGGTTCAAGTGATTCTCTGGCCTCAGCCTCCCCTGTAGCTGGGATTACAGGTGCCCACCACGAAACTCAACTAATTTTTATAGTTTTAGTTGAGATGGCGTTTTGCCTTGTTAGCCAGGCTGGTCTCAAACTCCTGACCTCAGGTGTTCTGTCCACCTCGGCCTCTCAAAGTGCTGTGATTAGAGGCACTCAGCCTAATCTCACCTCAGTTTAAGACTAACATTAACTATTGAATGAAAAAAAATTAGCCAACCTTAATATGCCCCAAAATAGAATGATCTCCAAATAAATTCTTGGTGGAGGGGGAGGTGAAAAAAGAACAGGAAATGAGTATCGTGTGCTCCCACATGTAATAAAGTTAATAGATATCTATTACATAATCTTTCTAGATTATATAATATTTCTAGACGGCTATATAAGGAACCGTTGACAGTGGTTCCCTTTCGGCTGGGATAGTTTGGGGACACAAAGTCTGAAGTGAGAGGAAAACATCTCAATACCTTTTGTGCCACTGGAATTTCTTGTACTGTGTTGATATTAATTTTTTACTATAAAAAGTGTTTAAATTCTTGACTGGACAACAGGGTTTTCTGAGATTGAACTTTCATATTTCTCTGCCCTTGATAGCAGAAAGCAGGAACAGCACTGTGGCCACGGGTGGCTTGTGGCTGTGTGGTTGGAAGGGGCGTTTGTACAAGCAGATCAGAGAAGCAGCTGGAAGATGCTCCTGGGGCGGGGAAGTGAGTGCACCTCAATTCTGGCTTAGGAAGCCAAGTGAAATTAACTGAATCTTGATTGCAGAGACTTCAGCCTGAAACGGCAAACTTGCAGTTGAAATACGTAAAAGCCCATCCCATGGTGTGGAGGATTTATCTTGATAAAACTTTTTTTTTTTTTTTTAAGTATGAATAGATTTTTTAAAAACTCTCTGGTAGGTTGGGACACAAAGGCTTTTCAGAGGCTGTCTGACTAGGGGGCGAAAGTACCTGGAAGAAGGGATTCTAAGCTAAGAATACAACAGCCAGCTGTCGTTTTTAACCTGACAATACAGCATTTGGACTTTATTTCCACGGACAAGAACATGCCGTTAAAGGTCTTCTGAGAATATTCTTATTTATTAATTTCAAGGATAGGACTTTGTGCTAGTGAGTTGATATCCTGCTTGGAACCCAGAGCAAAGGGTTGTTTTGTTTATGTGCGAGAGATGGTGGGGAGGAGACAAGACGTTACCTGTCCCAGGTAGATGCCAGAGTGGGAGACCCACGTCCTCCTCATAGGAAGCGCTCAGCTTAGGATGAATGCGGTAGAAGACCTGTGTCCTGCCCTTAGGAGAATCTAATTCAGAGATCAGAGGACAAAGAGCGCAGGGACTTGATTTTGGAATGCAAAGAATCTTTGTGGAGTCATAAACCCCTGCCCAAAAAAATTAATAATAATAATTAAGAGCACAATCCTGGTCCGAATTGTGTGTTCAGCTAACCTCAAGCCCAAATGTCTGATCCAAGCACTAAGAAGAGAGAACTTGGCCAGTCTCAGTGGCTCATGCCTATAATCCCAGCACTTTGGGAGCCGAGGCAGGTGGATCACCTGAGGTCAGGAGTTCCAGACCAGCCTGGCCAACATGATGAAACTCTTGTCTCTACTAAAAATACAAAAATTAACTGGGTGTGGTGGTAGGTACCTGTAATCTCAGCTACTTGGGAGGCTGAGGCAGGAAAATCACAGGAACTCGGGAGGCGGAGGTGGCAGTGAGCCAAGATCACGCCACTGCACTCCAGCCTGGGTGACAGAGCAGGACATCATCTCAAAAAACAAACAAAAACAAAAAAAAGAAGAAGAAGAGAGGACTCAAAAAGGCCTAGGACGGAGCCTCTTTACAAAATGTCAGAGGCAAGATATAGATGGGGGAAAGACCTGAGTGGCCTTCAGCGAAGCCCCGTAGGGAAGCAGGCAGTGGGACCTTGGAACAGGCTCCAAGCTGAGACTGGATGGAATGTGGGGCTGCATCTGGCCCAAGCAGAAGGAGGGTCAACTGGGGTAAGAGGATCCATGACCCTGGGGGAAAGCCCTTAGAGACTCTCCGGTCCAGTCCCTTCGTGAAGGAAACTGAGACCCAGAATGTAGAATGCCTTATTTGGTGTCAGATGTCAGGACTGAGCTCCATCCTCAGACTCTAGCCTCCCAATCCACGGGACCCCCTGCAGAAGGACTTCCTGCTGGGAACTGGAGGCATTGTTTAAGCTCTTGATCAGACAACCATGTACTCACTTCCTACCTAGCAACGTGCTTCTACTGAATTCTACAGAAAGAGAGCCAGTCGAGTCTCACGGAGTGATCACACCACACACTTATCATCACCGACACGACAGCTCCTCCCACCTTTTTTCTGCTAGAGCCTAGATTTTTGTAGTAGGTGGAAATATCTTAATTTGGGGAAACATAGGCCGATTCTCCAACCTCAAGAGATGAGTCTTAATTGGCCACAGTATTCCAATCGTATTCCAGTCCCCCTTTGTCAATGATGGGTCTAAGGGTAGACATGTGATCCATTTCTGGCCCATAAGACATAAAGGGAAGTCTGCACAGGGCTATCAGAGAGCATGTATGGCCAAGTTAAGGATTCAAAAATCACATATTGACTTAGTGGAAATTACGGTTCCAATCCAAATCTTCCAACTCCCCACTGCTCCTTCCGCTAGCCATGATGGGCCTTGGCCTCATAGGGCTTGTAGGGAAAGTGAGTGGCCAAGAGCACGTCATGCCAAGGGAAGGTCTCTGAATATGGGTCCCTCTCTGTTGCCTCTTCTGAGATAGGCTGAGGTAAGTGATCAATGAGACAGAGCGATCCTTGCCCTAGGAAGCAAAGTGTTTGGTTGGGGAGGCCATACATGTTAGTGCAACTCCAGCCAACTCCACAGAAGTTGTTTAGGATTCGCCTTTGGTCAGCGTCTTCAGGTGGGAGTTCTGCACTCTGGAAGCCCTCCACCCAGCTTTTTGTCGGCCCTCAATCAGGTGGTTGTCTGGGCGAGTCCTCCATCCACCCACCAGTGCCTCCCCCATTACTCCTGGCCATCCTACTCATCCTCCAATGCCCACCTTGGATGAACTTCCTTGGCCTTGCCTGCAACCACCAGCTTGCACTTAATTGACCACACTGACCAATCATTGATTTATCCATCACACTAACTGTATAGCCTGCTCTGGGTCAGCCATAACGCTGACACTAGGCTCGGTGGGCAGTCAGAGCCCTCAGTCTTGTGAGGCAGGCCAGTTAACAGCAGCGGTACGGAGAGCAGTGCTGGAGGGCTGGGGAGGAAGGAAGCCAGCCGCTGTACCTTGGTTGGGGGAGGTGGTAGCCTTTTTCCTACTTCTCTCCCCAACCAGACACTTTGCTTCGTAGGGCAAGGACCACCCTGTCTCATTGATCACTGTCCTGTGCCTTTCTCAGAGGAGGCAACAGACAAGGACTCACGTTTGGGGCTCTTCCCTTGGCATGGACTTGCTCTTGGCCTCTCACCTTTCCCTACAAGCCCCGTAAGGCCAAGGCCCTTCTTCATGGCTAGCAGAAGGAGCAGTGGATATGGAGTTGGAAGCTCTGGGTTGGAACTGTAACTGCCAGTAACTTGACATGTGACTTTGGACACCTCACTTTTTTTTTTTTGAAAGACAAAGGATAATAACACCTTCCTATCTCACAGGGTTGCTGCAAAGATCGAATGAGATAACCAGTGGATTGACCAGGGACAGGAAGACCCGGCACCCAGGAGGTGAGCAGGGAGTAACCATTCATTCATCCACCTCCCTGGGCTCCCCACACTGCAGAAAACCAGAGACGAGTCAGCAGCACGGTGGAACTTTCCATGGGAGACAGAGCATTTAATGAGAGCAAGACCTGGACAGTGCGGTCAGGAATTGTCCCACCCAAGGAACCAGACACACACTCGGTCCCTTGATGGGGTTTCCTGAGGCTCTCATACTTTCTCCTGCCCTGGAAAATGCCATCCAGGAGCTCATCAATCTGCTACTGCCTCTCTTCCAGAGCAGCGCGAGAAGGAAATACAACGGGCTTGCAGGGGCAAGAAGGTACTTGTCTCTCATGTCTGTATCTTACAGGGGAGTTCCGAGGATTCCAATGGCCACTGTGGAGTTGCTGCCCCACTTTGGGGTCTTTGTCCAAGTAACTTCAAGTAGATTGGCTCACGGGCAGGGCTTGTCTGTTGAGGGGCCACCAAGCACTGCTCATTCTCAGCGGTCCTCTGTTGTCACCAGGCATGGTTGTGAAGGCCAGTCAAAAAGCGAAGACTTTCCCCAGAGGAGCTCCTGCTCTGGCATGAAAGACTCGGAAGTGGCCTAGCTCGGGGACACTCACAGCTGTGTCCACTCTGGGCCTCAGGGGAGTACCTAGAGAGCCCACCGCGGCGCCCAGAGCGCCATCACTGCCCGTACTTGGAGTGTGATCCGAGCTATTGGGGGATGGCAGGGAAAGCATCTCCCAGAACAGATGGCCTGCCTGGGAGAAAAGGGGCACACCAGAGGCTGCCAGCCAGGGCATCTCGGCAAATGTTAGCCCAGACAACAGGGGTCCCAGGAGTTGGAGGGGGCTCACTGGGGAGGTGGGACAGGGGTCCAGTCAATTAAGACAGAACGAAGTCACGAAAAGAGCAGGCTGGCCAGTGATGCGCTGTGGGTGGGAAGCCAGGTGTCATCCTGAAGTTACAACTCAGATTCCTCATCCTTTTTTTGGTGGTGGCCACACGAGGAGTTCCGAGAGGCTCCAGTTCCCACTCTCACTCCAGCAGTGGGAGGCTGCTCCAGACCAGGCACTCTGTCCCTGGCTAGGGTGTCCCCTTCAGAATGACAGAGATGAACTGAGGCAGCTCAAGGTGAGCCGGGAGGGGCATGGGCGCTGGTAGGTGGTTGTCTTAGCTCTCAACCAGAGGATCTGATTCCCACTTAAACTACCTAGGACAAAGCGAGTGAAAACCAGAGCCCCATGTAGGGGATGCTGGAGGCAGAGCGGGTGTAGGAGCCTGCATCCTGACCCCTCGGCTACCTGCCCTCACAGTGATAATGGCAAGGCTTGGGAAAGAGGGGTCCAGCAGCCCTTGAGGGGTTCCCTTCACTTCTGAGCCTGCCCTCCAGCCGCCCATTCCCATCTCTGCATCCGGGCCTGGAGGAAGAGATGGCCCACCCACTGGCTGGGTTTTGATGGCATGTGGACATCATTGAGTCACTTTTGGGTATGACCCCAAAACTCTGTGCAAGGTGTGTCAGAAGGTTCCGTAGTCCTGAGGAGGGTGGGGCCGTGTACGTGGTCTTGTGGCTCTCCCTAAGTCTCGACATGTGTCACATTAGCCCAGTCAGGGAAATGATCCAAGTCAAATATGGCCCGTCCCCAGGTGTTGACAGACAAAAACACACAGAAGACTCCAATGATGTTCATCATGAGTCCTGTTTTCACCTGGAAAAGAGACAGGGTCCGAGTCAGCACCCTGAGGCCTGCTGGGAACTCGCGCTCTCAGAGAGGAAGACAAAGGGCCAGTCCCCTGGGCCTCGCCCTTGCTCTGTGCTCCCCCAACGCCCAGACAGAGCCACTTCAGGTCCCCCAGGTATCCCTGGTACTCAAGGCATCCCTGGGAAGTAGGTAGAGCAGATGAGTTCTTTATACCCATGAGCATTTGGAAAATGACCTCAGAGAGGTGGTGGGAGCCAGCGGCCGAGGCCATTCGGGGGAATGGTGACAGGGCCCAGCATATGAGTCCACATTCACTGCTCACCGCAGTGCCCGAACCATCCTGCAAGCACGTGCCAGCTTCCCTGTGGATCTCCTCGTGCTCTTTCTGACGCCTGCTCTGCAGTCTTCCCCCGTGATGGCTAACCACTGCTTCACTGGCCTGCCGTAGATATTTGACTGGGGACTGGAATCAGGTTTGCAGTCCACGGTTTCTGGGATCCATTCCTTTTTCTTTTTTTTGAGATGGAGTCTTGCTCTATCACCCAGACTGGGGTGCAGTGGTGCGATCTTGGCTCACTGCAACCTCCACCTCCTGGGTTCAATTGATTCTCCTGCTTCAGCCTCCTGAGTAGCTGAGATTGCAGGCACACGCCACCATGCCTGGCTAATATTTGTATTTTTAGTAGAGACATTATTTCACCATGTTGGTCAAGCTGGTCTCGAACTCCTGACCTGTGATCTGCCTGCTTTAGCCTCCCAAAATGCTGGGATTATAGGTATGAGCCATTGTGCCCAGCCAGGACCCACCCTTTTTATGAAAACACTCCATGGAGTCCCTGAGATACCCAGCAGAGGCTCTGAGATACCCAGCAGAGGCTCTGAGATAAGGAACACCTGACTGGTCCAAGGTGCATTTCTGGCCTCCTGGGTTCACACACTTTCCCCTATCCCACCCCAGAGCGGCAAAGCTACCCTTCTTCTCCCATCAGAGGTGACAGAGCCAAGCCAGGCATGAAGAGTTCTTTCTCTGACTGCATTTGTTCCCAAAGCATCATCTACCATCTACTCCCAAGCAGCGGTCTCTCTCTTCCTCTCTCTGCTCTACCTCTTCAGACACCCCTCTGAATCTCTGTGACTGTAAGTAGCGTCTCCCTGTTGCCTAAGCCTGCGCTGCCTATCTTCATGGTCATGTGAGTCCAGCTCCACCTTCACCCTTTCCAAGGACTCCCCTGGTGCCTGCACAGGCTTCTCCAGGTGGGAGATTCTGCAGCCCACTTCAGAGAAAGAATAGTGTGTGAAGTTTGAGATCATTTAAAAAAAAAAAAAAAGCTGCATTGTAAATGTAGACACTGACCACAGGTCTGGAAGTTCCGTAGTATTCTCAAATCATATGACATCATTTTGAAACTCACACGTCATTCATTAATGGGGCATCTGTTATGATAACTGAATTATAGTTCCATGGGAGTAAGTAAAAACAGCTGTGTTACCATGTTAGCAAACTTGAGGTACCCGTAGGTTAACACAATGGAACACGATGAACCCCGTCTCTACTAAAAACACAAAAATTAGTGGAGTGACGTGGCTGGCACCTGTATTCACAGCTACTCGGGAGGCTGAGGCAGAAGAATCGCTTGAACCCAGGAGGCAGAGGTTGCAGTGAAAAGCTGCATTATTAATGTAAACAATGACTACAGGTCTGGATGTTCCGTGATATTCCGAAATCATATGACATTATTTTGAAACTCACACATCATTCATAAATGGGGCATCCCTTATGACAACAGCATTATAGTGCAATGGGAGTGAATAAAAACAGCTGTGTTACCATGTCAGCAACCTTGAGGTGCCCGTAGGTGAACACGATGGCATTCGGAGGGGTGGCCACAGGCAACATGAAGGCAAAGGAGGCACTCAGCGTACAGGGGAGCATGACGTACAGCGGATTGAGGCCGATGGAGCGAGACTGCAGAAAAACACAGCATTGCAGCATCACTGTACAGAATACAGAAGCTCTTGGGGACGGGATTCTGAAAAGCATTCTCTGAACGTGCCAGGTACGTTTGAACCTCTGTGCCCCTGCCTTGGCTCCTCTCCCTTTTGCCACGTCTCTAGTAAATAACTTTACCTACCAAACACTGAAGGCTGAGCTCAGAGGCTACCTCCCCCTGGAAGGCCTTTCTGAACCCCCTCAATTCATTCAACATATATTTCTTGGGCACCTACTATGTGCCAGAGACCCTGCTGAGTACTTAGACTGCACTCAACCTTCCAGTGCCACGTGCAAATGTCTGTCTGTCCTGCCACAGACCGAGAACCTAGAGGGCAGGGACCACATTTTCTCACCTGCATATAAATCTGTGGATGCGTGTGTTTCTTAACACACATGGGATCATTTCGCACATAGAATTTGGTAGCCACCTTTTAAATTCTACACTTTAAAATTCAGCCACATCTAACAGCACCCATCAGAGAGTAGGCACTCATTAAATATTTGTTGAGCGTATGAATGAATAATTCCTAAAAGCTATCCAATCAATTATGTATCATGCAGATTTACACGCATGAGGGCAGATACGTGCAAACATGTTTGTGGCAACAATATAACAGGAAAATGCAGGAAGCCAACTCCATGCTCACTAATAGCAGGATGGCTAAATAAAATATGATAGATACAAGCCATGGAATAGTATGCAGCTATAAACAATTGGATTGGCTTTTTTGTGCTACTATGGAAAGATTACCAAGACCTATGGTTAGATTTTTTAAAAATTAAGACGTATGGCCAGGTGCAGTGGCTACATCTGTCATCTCAGCACTTTGGGAGGCCAAGGTAGGCAGATCACCTGAAGTCAGGAGTTTGAGACCAGCCTGGCCAACTTGGTGAAACCCCATCTCTACTAAAAATACAAGAGCAGGGCGAGGTGGCTGATGCCTGTAATCCCAGCTAGTCGAAAGGCTGAGGCAGGAGAATTGCTTCAACCCAGGAGGCAGAGGTTGCAGTGAGCCAAGATCGCGCCATTGCACTCCAGCCTGGGTGATAAGAGTGAAACTCTGTCTCAAAAAAACAACAACAACAAAAATTAAGATGTGTAATGACTATAGAATGATGCCATTTATTTAAAGAGAGAGAGAGAGAGAGAGAGAGAGAAAGAGAGAGAGAGAGAGAGAGAGAGTGTGTGTGTGTGTGTGTGTGTGTATATAATATATCCAGAAAGACACCTGATAAATTAATAACAGAAATCATCTCTAGGGAGGAGGCTACAGGTTTAAATTCTGTACACAGCTTTGCATTATTAGACACTTTTAGCCATACACCATCTGCAAATTAAAGAAATAATACTATGAGCATGTTCCCATTTTATTACTCTTCGAAACTGTGATTTTTAATGACCTGATAGTGTTATGTTATATGAATATAGGATAATTTATTTCTGCGAAACCCCCATCACTATGAATATATTTGTATAATAATTCTGCCATACAACATCATAATACATGTTTGTAGGCATCTCTGATTATTTTCCTAAGATGTGTTCTCAAACAAAATTGCTGAGTCAAGGGGTCTGAGCAGATGTAATGCTATGGTTCCTGCTGGTAAACAGCCCTCCGAAACGGCTGCAGGAAGTCCCACATCGTCTGGAATCACTGAGACGTCCCAGGCAGGGGCCTGGCTCTTCCCTCCACCATCCTCATTTTCTTGGCTCTGGGTACCATACGGTGTCTGCACCCCACACTCCTTGGCAACCCAGTTCAATGGCCACCACCTTTTCTTTTCTCATAGGTAGGCATGAGACAAGATTGTGATGGGCCTTAGAGGTAGCTGGAGGAAATTTTACTTGGGGTTTCTGGTTCTAGAAAAGCTTGTTCTCAAAGGGCCTGTTAGAGCCTGCAGTTGTCTGGTTGGGACCCTTGGTGTTCCCAGCTAGGGCTGGAGATGACAAAGCCAGGGCCTTTGCTAGGAGAGAGGAGGCATCACCACCACATGCCTGGCATCAAAAGCTGCTCCTCTTACTGGGCATCTGTCTGGGCAGCCTGCTTAGGAGAAGAGACAGGTCGCTTTGCTATTTTTCACACCTTTACCTCCTTGCTACTTTTAACACTTTCATCTTCACTTGGAAAGGAAAAAAAAAACCACTTAGTTTTGCTTTTGATACACACAGACGCCCAGGCAGCTGAATGGAAATTTACCAACTTCAGTCCTGTGTTCAGGCCCTTTGTAAATCTGTCTCCCAATTCCAGAATAATGACAGCCTCTCCCATGCTCATTTTGCAGTCTACAGAGGCTTTTCATAGCCCTCATCTTACTTGGCCATCAGCACAGCTCCAGGAGGAAAGAAGTTAAGGGTCATGTGCAGAGATCCCACATCTTGAACTCAGGTCTCCTGACTGCAAGACCAGGGCTGTTTTCACACTACCCTGAGGCTGGTACGTCTTTGCAGTGGGTGACAGAAGGAAATGCAAAAAAAAAAAAAAAAAAAAAAAAAGCGGTAGCCACTGATTTTCCTATAAGCTCTGCTTTCTTTTCAATCCCAACTCAAAAACATGCTTGTCCACAGAACAGGATGCTTTAGCCTGGCACTCAGCAGCTTTTCCCACGAGTGACAGCTACCTCTCTCAACTCCCTGTGCTCCTCAAGCAAGGCCTCCAGGAGTCCGCAGTCCTGTGTACCATTGCCCTGCACACGTGCTGCTCCACCTTCCCAGAATTCTCTCTCTCCTTCCACCCATTCCCAAGTCCCCACTCCTCCGAGGCCTCTTCCTGGGGGGTTCCAGCCGGTGCTGCCCCTGCTCTGCAGTCCTTCTGCACACCTGTGCTCCATGCCCAGAGACCATGGCTCTGGCCTGCTCCTCTTTAGCCCGAGTCCCGTCTCCCCAGCTTGAAAAATAATCCAATTAGATTTCTAAAACAAATCTGAGAACTTGGTCCATGTTTGATGCCGTGGCCAGCATGAGGGATACCCAGAGGAGTGGCAAAGCAGCGGGGGCCCCAGGAGCAGAGGCATCCAGGGCCCACGAATCCATGTCACAGCCAGACCTGGGTCTCCAAAGCCTGGTCTGGCTCTGGCCTGGACCGCTGCCTCTTTAGGGACCCAGAACATGGCCATGTGTTGGCAGCTTCCTGTGAAATGGAAGGGCCCCTCCCCATCATTACGTTACTTACCATGGAAGCAAAGATGGGCAGGAACAGGGTGGTGGTGGCCACGTTGCTTGTGCACTCAGTGAACACGGCAACGAGCAAGGATAAGATCAAGGTGATGGCTGCCGGGGGCACTGCGTGCAAGGGTTCCATCTGCTTCCCCATCCACTCGGACAACCCCGAGGCCTGGGAAGCACCACAAGGGTAGTTACTGCAGGGCTCCTGGCTTGCAGCTCCTTCAGGACCAGAGTCAGCTTGGCCCGTCCTCCCCTCCTGACCCTCTTTCTCTACACCTCGTAGGTGACCTCATCCATTCCCACCATTTTCATCCCCATCATCACTCTGCTGTCTCCTAACTCTGTACTTCCAGCCAGCTGGCCTACTATCTGGATTTACACACCCATATGCCTTCTGAAAATGTCTACCCAGATGTCCCATGAGCACAACAGACTCAGTATGCGCCACCCTGCATTCATCCTCCATAGCCCAGAATCTGCTTCTCTCTCTGGGCCTCCCAGTTTGGTGAACGGACTCACCATCCACCAGCTGTCCAAACCCAGAAGGCTGTTCCCCTCATTCCTTATACCCACTCAGTCACCAAGTCACCCAAACGTCTCACATCCATCTCCTCCTCTTCAGTCCTCCACAGTTTTGGAAGCTCAGGAGATACATTTCGACCAGAAATTGAGGGTTTAGATTTAGGGCTTTGAGCTGAGAAGAGATTGTCCAGGGAGAGAATGAAGTGTAAAGAGAGGAGAGGCCAAGGACAGAGCCTGGACGGACACTCCTATTACAGGGAGAACAGAGGAGAAGTCAGCAACAGAGGCTGAGCAGGAATAGTCCGAGTCTCAAGGAAAGCTGGGGATGGTGCTCTGCTGGGGGCCAGAGGAGGAGGGAATGTCAAGGAGAGAACATCCACGGAGTCCAAAGTTCTGAGCCTGAGTGAAACGAAGGCTGCAGAGTCTCTGCTAGTTCTCCTCCATGCCCTGCCCATCCCAGGCCCCGACTCCAGACATCAGAGTGATTTCCTGACCTGCAGATCTGACCAACTCACCCCCTGGCCTCAGTCCTTTAGTGGCTGTCTATTGCCTTCACGATCCAGTCCACATCCCGCTCTCTTGAGGCCCTCAGAGAAGTGGCTTCTGCTAGCTTCACTGGCCTCATCTTCTACTTCTCCTCAGCCAAATACCTCACATTTTCTCCCTTGATCCTGTCCCACTTCCTGAGATGCCCTTCCACATATGTGCCTCTCCCTAGTCTTGAAGTCTGTCAAGAACAGGGACCATATCTCAATCTCCTCTGTAATCTCTGTGCCTGGCCTAACACTAGGGACATAATAGGAATGTTGGATGGATGGATGGATGGATGGATGGATGGATGGATGGATGGATGGGTGGATGGATGGATGGGTGGATGGATGGATGGGTGGATGGATGGGTGGATGGATGGATGGGTGGGTGGATGGATGGGTGGATGGATGGATGGATGGATGGGTGGATGGATGGGTGGATGGATGGATGGATGGATGGATGGATGGATGGGTGGATGGATGGATGGATGGATGGATGGATGGGTGGATGGATGGGTGGATGGATGGATGATGGATGGGTGGATGGATGGGTGGATGGATGGATGGATAGATGGATGGATGGATGGGTGGGTGGATGGATGGATGGATGGATGGATGGATGGATGGATGGGTGGATGGATGGATGGATGGATGGATGGATGGATGGATAGATGGATGGATGGATGGGTGGGTGGATGGATGGATGGATGGATGGGTGGATGGATGGATGGATGGATGGATGGATGGATGGATGGATGGGTGGATGCATGGATGGATGGGTGGATGGATGGATGGATGGATGGATGGATGGATGGATGGGTGGATGGATGGGTGGATAGATGGGTAGATGGTTGGCTGGCTGGCTGGCTGGATGGATGGATGGATGGATGGATGGATGGAGACTTGAATAGATGCATGGATGAATGGATCAAGAGATGACTAGATGGATGGATTTTTTCACCCCCACAGGAATTTAGCACCCATTAGGCACCAAGCTGTGTCCTAGATATTGAGGAAACAGTAATAACAAGACCATGTCTATTACACTCATGAATGGGTGGATGGTTGGTTGAAGGACAGCAGCAGCAAGCTGGCTTATCCCTCCCTCTGGCTCCTTTCTTCCCTAGGAGGGAAGGAGGGAAGTAGAGAAAGTTATATTTTTGTGTATTTTCCAAAATGTTCCTCTCCTCCTATGCTGCTACATACTTAGCTAAAGAACAAGTTTGAAGTAGCTACCATGTTAACAAAGAGCTCAGCCAGCTGAACAACCAACGGTAGTAGCAAACAATATTGGCAAGGACTTGAAAGAAAGATTTCCCTCAGAAAAATCAAAGCAGAGGTCATTACTATCAAACCCCAGAGGGTACCTGACAGTGTCCTCTACCCCTCTCGGCTAACCAGGATCACTCATTCACTCACTCCTGCAATCACTGAAAGGTTACTTTCTGTCTTCCAGGCCCTATGTGTGGTGTAGAGTCCTAGATGAGAAGACAGAGTCCCCATTCTCAAGGAATGCGCAGTTTGATACAGGCACAGAAACACACAAGCCCAGGGATGGAAGGGTAGAGAAATGTCACCCTCTTGTCAAAGAAGAGGGCTCTGGGCAGCCTGTGGCTGGAGAAGTTACCTCGCATCCTTTAGCCAGAGCAAATCCGCCCCCTAGTAGCAGCACGATGCCCCAGGGCACTTTCTCCTGGGTGACCTTCCAATCCAGCAGCGCAGGGGGGTAAAATGGAGTTTTCCTTTCTGAGAACAAAAATAAACATACACACACACACACACACACACACACACACACAAACACACACACACACACACACACACCCCAGAGCAGCATTAGAAGACAAAAGACATCTAATATCAAGGGGGAATCAAGCCAATAAGAACAACAAGGTACCATCTCCTACCTAAAATGAGTTAAACTTTATACTAATATATATTAGTGGTGAGGATATGGTCAAACTATGACACACACTGCCAATAGCATCAGAAATTGGTACAACCTTTTTGAAAAGCAATTTGGCCATACATTTTAAGAGCCATTAAGACTTTATATTCTATTGCCCCAGCAATATTACTCCTAGAAGTTTATCCTAAAGGAGAAATACCCTCAAAGGAAACGCTATAAACAAGAAAACATTACTTTCTGAAAATAAAAAATTCAAAACAGCCAAAATGTTCTAGAACAGGAGAATTATTACATCCCCTCTACACAATATAATACCATTATTAGAGAAAATATATTTGAGGACCATAGCAGTAGTGAGAAATGTTTATAGTGTACTGTCAATCAAAAGCGGAAGAAGAAACGACAAAGAAATAGCATTCAAACTGTGTGTTTGAATCCTATTTTGATGATAACATAATCCTTTTGATTATAAGGTAATATATATACATATTAGCAAAGACTGGGAGGAAGAGAGAAAACAAGAAGTTACTGGTGGTATTATGGGAAATTTAAAACATTTTCTGTTCCTGTTGTAATATAAATACAATTTCAAATGTTTAAAAAGCGAAAGAGAAGACATTTTGCACTAAATAATACCACCGGTGGCTTCAAAGCCACTGTCTCCCAGGCCTTTGTTATGTAGCTAATCCTCTCGGATATGATGGGATTTTCTCCCTCCAGAGCCCAGCGCATCCCACAGTGATCCTTTGCTTCCTGCGCTCCGGCCCTGATGACTGGAAGATCAGGACAGGAGCCTTACCTTCCTCGGTCTGGCTGCAGAAGTTGAACTTGGGCTTCTGTGAAGGCACAATGAATAGCAGGATGGCCACAAAGATGGCCACAGTGGCATCGGAGGCATACCTAGGTGGGGAAAAGCACAGCTCAGCTGCTGCAATGACAGTCACTCAACAAAGCCATTCCAGCACCAGCAGTTCTGTGTCTAAATGCTCCTATGCAAAGACACAGGCTCATATAGCCCTAAAAGTCAAGGTCGAGAGTGGTGTGGTAGACTGAGTCCTGGCTAGAAATCAAGATGCCCACACTCTTGGCCACCAACTTTGGGTGACCCTAAGCAGCCTACTTCCCTCTCTCGGCGCATGCATTCTCCATAGGTGTATTTCCGGACCTCTTCTTGACCAGCTTCTCTAGAATTTTGGGTTTACCAGGGTGGCCACAAGGACTCTGGTGCTGACCCAAGCCGACCTTCAAAACGAAACGGCCGTCATAGGCAGCATCTCCCTGCCCACATCTTTCGCCTTTCCTAGGATGTACATGTTTCTCAATCTTTCTTCCATTCTGACAGCATCTTAGCCAGGAGAGAAACCACATGTACCCACTTTGCCAAGTCTCTGTCTATGAAGCTCCCTGGATGTGTGCCTTTGGAGGTATTTGACCAGATGTAGAGATACGAAAGGGCAGATGGCAGAGCAGAGATTTGGAAACCAGAGCTCTGGGAGCCCAAGAAATCTCTCTCAGCCCAGCTCTGGCCACTGTGCCTGGCCAAGTATTTTCTGCTCAGCCTATTCAGGGAGGAGAGGATACCACAGGAACACATTTGGGGTCTTATTGTAAAGTTTGGTCAAAACACAAAAATAAGTCATGAAACCAACAGAGTGCTCTCTGAAACCCAACTCCCAAAAAAAGAGAAACCTTGACCAAGCATGAGTGCCCAGCCCACATTCCTCTTGCCACCTGTAGCTAAGAACTGCAGCATTTAGGCACCAGTGCACTAAGCCAGCAATTTCTTTTTCTTTTTCTTTTTTTTTTTTCTTTTCTGTTTTTGTTTCTGTTTTGTTTTGTTTGAGATGGAGTCTCACTCTGTCGCCCAGGCTGGAGTGACGTGGGGCAATCTCGGCTCACTGCAACCTCTGCCTCCCAGGCGCAAGTGATTGTCCTGCCTCAGCCTTCCAAGTCGCCAGGACTACAGGCACGTGCCACCATGCCCAGCTAATCTTCTGTATTTTCAGTAAAGACGGCATTTCACCATGTTAGCCAGGATGGTCTCGATTTCAGGACCTTGTGATTCGCCTGCCTCGGCCTCTCAAAGTGCTGGGATTACAGGCGTGAGCCACCACACCCAGCCCTAAGCCAGCGATTTCTATTGAATCAAAGACTTACTTTGTCTCACCCTCCACCCAGGCGACAGTCAGCCAGCCGGGCATGAAGCCGGGGTCTCGGGAGAACCACAGGACAACCAGCAGGAGGAAGCAGATCAGGACGTTGACCTCCGCGAAGGAGAAGGGCCCCAGCTTCCTGTACTCCTCCTGCAGCATCTTGAGAGCAGCCTTCTCATTATTCTTCCTCTCCAGCCTACAGCCCCAGGACTTTTTAAAACTGGAGAATGCAAAGATGGGAGAAGGGCAGAGCAGACTGGTTGGCTCACGTACTGGTCAGAGGGGCATAAACGTTCTACAGCAGAATGTGGCAGAAAGACACATAATGCTGCCCTTGCCTGCTGTGGGGCCTGGAGAAAGGCCCTTCCTGCCTCTTTCCCTCTCCTGTTCTTCCATCCCAGAAGGCAGTAGGGAAAAGTCTCTGTAGAGAGGCTGGAGGGTCTTGGCAGGTGCCCAGTCACCTGGAGACTGGCTGTTCCAGGGTCACTTGGGGAAAGGCCATAAGAAGTCCCAGAGCCTGCTCAAGGTGGGACCAGGGATCCCTCACATCCTTCCCAAGTCCTCCTTCCACCTCAGCCTGGAGCTTTGATGGTGTTGGGATGCCAGCCCCCATCACCAAGGTGGCTCAGTAAGACACAGGGAGTGAATATGAATCCTGGCAGACAGGGCTGGTGAGGGGCAGAACGGGTCCGTGCATTCCCAGGAGCTGGAGGTGCAGGATGAGGGATTCAGGAGGCTCTGGGGCTAGCAGCAGGCAAGGCTAGGGCAGGAAGGAAGCCAGCCCAGGATGGGCACCTCCATGCTGGATGGGCCTCCTTAGGACCAGTGTCCATTGCCCAGGGCGTCCTGCAGGGCCTCCGCTAAGTTGGTGTTGGCACGAGGAGGCAGAGATGAGAGGAGGTTCTTGGAGGAGGTGCAGAGGGTAGCTCAGCTGTGGAGAGGGGATAACTGGGGCCCCTGTGCACGGGACAAGGGCATGCAGAGGGGCCCCAGTTCTGAAGATTGCATTCACACATCCCAGTTCCAGCCACTGTTGATTTGAAGGGGTGGGCGAGGCCAAGAGTAATGTCCTTGGAGAGCCGTCCCTTGGGACAGCCCTTCAGGGGGCCGTAAGACATAATCCTAGGAGGGCGGGGATTGATGGAATAGGTGCTCATTCTCGAAGCAAGTGCTGGATGTGAATAGCCTTGGAGATTGTGGGTCAAGTGTTGTTGTGATGCTGGCTTGGCCCGGAGCATGGGGACACCAGGACATCAGGACACGGCTTTCTGGGGTGCTCAGGGGTCAAGAAAAGAGGCAACACTGATCGGATCTCAGGTCTGCACGGCTGGCCAGGATCTCCCTGCTGGGCAAGGGGACAAGGCTCTGTATCCTGAGGGTCACCCACCAGGGACATTCTCTAGACACTGGGCATGAGGATGACTCTGCTGGTGTCAGGGGGAGCCTCTCTGCTATCATGCCCTTGGTAAAGTTTGTGCTCTACCAAACACCTCACATCTGCTGCCACTTGTCGTCCTAGAGACTCTGGGGCTTAGCCAAGGGCTTCAGGTTTCCGGGATAAGGGGATGAGCTTGCCATGACTAGTGGCCCAGGATCCAGAGCCTGCATTCGGTGCTGGCGGCTCATCCCCAACACCACAGTAGTTGCAGACTCTGAGGCTGCATGGAATATGCAGTCGTCCAGTGCTGGTGCCCACAGTGGTACCGCCAAGCCTTCAGTCTCCCGTGCTAAGCAGCTTTGCTGTCATCTCTGGGTTAATTTCATCTGATGACTACCGGACTGGCATGAGATGCAAGCAAATGGATCCAGTTGACCTGTGAGGGACCTAGGTCGGGATCGGGGCACCGCAGTGTCCTTCTGCCTTCACCAAGACGCCCCACGGTGAACCTGGACTGAATATACTGCTGAGCCAAGAAGAGGGAAGAGACCCTTGAGCTTTAGTGCCTCTGCCCTGCCAGGGGTCCCCAAACCCTCATCCCTATTACAGGAGGTGAGCTTGGTTGAGACAGTTAGGTATAACCAGTAATAATATCCCATGTAGTTCTCGGGGGTCCTGCGGTGGGGTCTGGCCCTCTTTGTTGGATATAGTCTAGGAGGCTACACTAGACTCCTCAGCAAGGTAGTTTTTCTGGATTAGGCTAGAGGCCGAGATCTTAACCTTGTTCTCCACGACCATTCAGATGAGGAACTCAAGTGGGAGCAAGAGCTGACAGCGCAGCTGCTTCCTGCAGCAGAGACAGGTGCTCCCTGGCCTCAGGAGGGGAGGCCCAGGAGGCCACAAAGGCAGGCAGGGATCACCAGGTCCTAGTTTGCGGTAGGACGCGGCCTGGGCCACAGCGCTGTTCCCATCACTCAAACCGAACGTAAAAGCTGTCCTCTACCTTCCAGATCTGGAACCAAAACACAGCTCCTGTGAGCCACCCTGACCAGCCACACTGCAGGCGTCCAAACTAGAGTGGCTGTCAGGAAGGGGTGCGACTGGGCTGCAGATACACACCCCATCGCGAGCGTGCTCAGAAGCCCCCTGCCGCAGACACTGCCAGGCTCCCCTGCCAGTCAATAAGAAGGCCATGCCAGGCTGGGGGACTGCAGCTTCAGGTTCTTGGCTGTGAATCCCCAGGGGCCTGACAACCACCTCTGGCCAGACAAGAAGCTGATGATGCCCTCGTGGTCCCAATGCCATGCTATCTCCCTCCTCTTCCTCAGTGGGCCTTAGGGTTCTAGGGCAGCCCCTGGGCTGCAACTAATGCTCTGACACCTGGTATTGCTTGTCTAGAGGCAACTAAGGGCAGCAACCCTCAGCCTCCCCAAGATGGGTTGCCATACAGTGGAGCCAAAGTGCCTGGGTTCAAGTCTCAGTTCCCTACTTCCCCGTGACACAACCCTGTGTACACCACATCACCTCTCCGTGCCTCAGTTGCCTTGTCTGTATTTTAGGAATAACAATAATAGTGCCGACCTCATAGGTTGTCATGAAAATTAATTAAGTTTAAGAGTGCTCAGGCCAGGCGAGGTGGCTTATATAATCCCAGCACTTTGGGAGGCTGAAGCGGGCAGATCATCTGAGGTCAGGAGTTCAAGACCAGCCTGGCCAACATGGCAAAACCCTGTCTCTATTTCAAAATACAACAATTAGCTGGGTGTGGTGGCGGGTGACTGCAATCCCAGCTACTCGGGAGGCTGAGGCAGGGAGAATCGCTTGAACCTGGGAGGCGGAGGTTGCAGTGAGCCAAGATCGCACCACTGCACTCCAGACTGGGCGACAGAGTGAAATTCCATCTCAAAAAAAAAAAAAAAAAAAAAAAGAGCTCAAAATTGTGTCTGGCACATCATGAACAATCAATAAATGTTAGCCATGATTATTTCTATTGCCCCATGAGGAGACACAGATGCCCACTGGCAGCAGGTTCGAGATCATCTCCTGGGAGGCCTGTTCGATGGATGTGAGCAAATGAACAGGACTTTGGTAAAGATGCAAGACGCAGGGCAAAGACAGCTGCTGTCAAAGCCAAGAGAGGTGCTGTCAAAGGTGGCCAGGCAGCCACGTGAGCAGCTTTCCTGCCCCATCCACAGGCAGGACAGAGTGAGGTCTGGGCAATAATCATTAACACTCTTATTGTTGGCTGGGTGCGGTGGCTCACACGTGTAATCCCAGCACTTTGGGAGGCCGAGGAGGGCGGATCACGAGGTCAAGAGATTGAGACCATCCTGGCCAACATGGTGAAGCCCCCTCCCTACTAAAAATACAAAAATTAGCCAGACATGGTGGTATGTGCCTCTAGTCCTAGCTACTCAGGAGGCTGAGGCAGGAGAATTACTTGAACCCAGGAGGCTGAGGTTGCAGTGAACTGAGATTATGCCAGTGCACTCCAGCCTGGGCAACAGAGTGAGACTCCACCTCAAAAAATAAAATTATTATTCTTACTATCATTATTATAACTGCTTGGAATGTGTATAGTAACTTTTTTTTTTTTTCGAAACGGAGTCTCACTCTGTCACCCAGGCTGGAGTGCAATGGCACGATCTCAGCTCACTATAACCTCCGCCTCCCATGTTCAAGCAATTCTCCTGCCTCAGCCTCCCAAGTAGCTGGGATTACAGGCACGTCCCACCACACCCAGCTAATTTTTGGATTTTTAGTAGAGAATTTTTAGGGGTTTCATTTACCATGTTAGCCAGGATGGTCTCGAACTCCTGACCCCAGGCCATCTGCCCATCTCAGCCTCCCAAAGTGCTGGAACTAGAGGTGTGGGCCACCACACCCAGTTAATTTTTGTATTTTTAGCAGAGATGGGGTTTCACCTTGTTGGCCAGGCTGGTTACAAACTCCTGACTCAGGTGATCTGCCCACCTTGGCCTCCCAAAACGTTGGGATTACAGGTGTGAGCCACCATGCCCGGCCTGTATAGCAACTTCTTAATGGCAGTTTTCAAAACAGTTCGTCCTTCAGAAGAAGACTTAGGAAAATTCCCTATTTTCCTCATGAAATCACAGGTTTCTGTGGGCACTGCCGCCTCTCACTCTGCAGTCTCTTCCCTCTGGTCACATATTCCCCTGTTTTTACTTGGCTCGAGTCCGTGGATTGAGGCATAGAGCATAGGCACTTGGCTCAGAGCTGAGTACTTTCTATCCTGGTGTGGCATGTTCACCTTTGCACCACAGATAAATTTGTGTGTTCTAAAATAACAATAACTTTTTTTAGGTATTTGCAAGCCACTGGTCATGGTTCCTGTCCAAAGTCTGGCTGCCATCAAAGGTGGCCTCTGATGAACTTGCCTGTGTGCTGGGAACAGGAAGGTAAACTTTCCAGGACCTGCACACTGCTGGGAACATCAGAGGCATGCAGTAAAGGTCTAGCTTGGATTGATTTGGACGTCATCACTCCTGGGTTTACTTGGCTTAAACTCCCTGTGAATTGAGGCACAGAGCATATGAGCTTAGCTCAGAGCTGAGTCACAGGTTTGCTGTGACCTGGCCTGATGGACCCACACGGGCAAGAGGAAGCTTGTCCGGTAATATCGAACAGGCACGTGAGGACCAGCTTATCTTTAATTGCTTTAACCCACTCGCTCTTCCTCCGTGTGCCAGAGCTGTGCCGGGAGCTGTGCCCGGCATCACAGTGGCGCTGGAGGAATTCTAAGTCACTGGAACCTGAATGCAGATACTGAAGGATAGGGCTGGGATATGACTAGGAATGGCTCAGAGATGGAACGGTGGGTGGGGGGAAATTCAGGGAAGCTGCATTTGCACTGGCCTTGAAGGCTGAGGAGGTGGGAAGGTAGAGAATGGAATTCCAGGAAGAGGGGATCATGTGTGCAGAAGCTCAGAGAGCAGCCCAGGGTTGAAGGAACAGGAGGGCAGACTAGCGAGAGACGGGGCTGGAGGAAGGTCAGGGACAGACGAAGGCCTGTGTAAACCCGCCTGTGGAGTCTGAAGGCTTTTCTGCCGCCTTGAGGCATCATTAGGCATCATTTATCATCAGGCTGTGCGCAGCTGGAACTTACTTGAATCTCATGTAAATACACTGGAGCCACAGCCAGGAGAGCAGGAGCATTATCAGCATGTTGGGAAAGGCAAATGCAAACCAGGAGGCAAAGTTCACCAGGTCCTTGCTGTCAGGAAATAATCTGCAAAGGAGACACCGGTCCCCACCTCAGATGCTGAGCTGCGGGGAGTGGGCCAGGCCCCGTGTGGGGGTACAGACCAGCAGCTGGGCCCTGAGAGGTGGGCCTGAGTGGAGGCAACATCCTCCTGAGGTCTAGCCACCAAGTCCATTGCTAAGCATTAGCCCCTAACTGAATGGGAACCTCAGAACATGGCCACAGCACAAGACAAGGCCAAGAAATGACCCACTGACCCTTCTATGTGTCTAGGCCTTGCTAAGAGTCTCATGAACGCTACGGCTCATCCCTTCAGAAAAATACACCTTTTTATACATATGCATGTAATTTGGCTGATAGCTTTGCGGATCTGAAGAGAGACTTCAGCAATTTCACCCTGTAGGTTTCTGCAAAGGACGCCCTCCCCAGCCCTTGGCAAAGCAAACCTCAAAAGCTTCCCAGAGTGGAGGCTGGAGGAGGGTCGCTTCCGTGGCAGGCTCCGCCTCCCATTCCCCAGGCTCTGCTAGCTCCAGGGGCTGTCTCCTTTAGCTCAAGAATGTCAAAGCGGCCGGGCGCCGTGGCTCAAGCCTGTAATCCCAGCACTTTGGGAGGCCGAGGCGGGTGGATCACGAGGTCAAGAGATCGAGACCATCCTGGTCAACATAGTGAAACCCCGTCTCTACTAATAATACAAAAAATTAGCTGGGCATGGTGGCGCCTGCCTGTGATCCCACTCAGGTGGCTGAGGCAGGAGAATTGCCTGAACCCAGGAGGTGGAGGTTGCGGTGAGCCGAGATCGCTGCCATTGCACTCCAGCCTGGGTAACAAAAGTGAAACTCCATCTCAAAAAAAAAAAAAAAAAAAAAAAAAAAAAGAATGTCAAAGCAGGCCAGGCGCAGTGGCTCACACCTGAAATCCCAGCACTTTGGAGGCTGAGGCAGGCAGATCACAAGCTCAGGAGAGTTCAAGACCAGCCTGGCCAATATGGTGAAACCCCGATTCTACTAAACACACACACACACACACACACACACACACACACACACACACACAGACAAATTAGCCTAGAGTGGTGGTGCATGCCTATAATCTCAGCTACTTGGGAAGCTAAGGCAGGAGAATTGCTTGAACCGGGGAGGCGGAGATTGCAGTGAGCTGACATCGCACCACTACATGCCAGCCTGGGTGACAAAGCAAGACTCTTTCTCAAAAAAAACAAAGAGTGTCAAAGCAGACACAGAACTTTCCCCACCCAGCCTAGACAGGCTGCTCTTCCCAGAGAAAGTTACCAGAGAACTGTAAGGATATCATTACAGAAAACACTCCTGACATTAAAACCAACGGGTTGTTGAACCTCAAGTTTCTGCCCAGCCAGGCTCCAGGCCTGTCCTTTCCACACAGCTCCTGTGCCCACTGCCCTCCCCACCCCTGTCCAGGCTCCTGTCTGCACTGGATGGCACCACCTTATTTTCATTCCTGCCCACTGCAATTAGCACATACCTCAATTAATGCATTTATTTACAAGACGTGCCTGGAACTCCCTGGCATCTTGCCACCCTCAACAGACCGTGAATACCCTGTGGCAGGGTCCAGCTTTCTCTCCCTCTTATGATCCCAGTCCCACCGAGCAGAAGGCCAGGCACAGACATGGGGTCCTCATGGCCTGTGTCCCTTTGTGGCCAAGGCTGGAAAATTCCAAACCATCTCATGTTTCAGCTGTCACCTCACAAGGGGACCTGTCACCTCAAAGGCAATTTGTGGGACCATGATGAAGCAGTGAGGCCTTGAATGACCCAACTCCAGCCCTTCATAGTATCTGTAGGCCTCGGATATCATGGGACCATCACCATTAACAACCACAGGGAGTGATCCAAGGGAGTGGTGGGGAGTCTTTTAGAGGTGTCTATTTTCTGCAAGTTTCAACCAAGGACCCAGCATCCAGGAGTACACTGTCATCTGCTATGACTAGCTCAGAGTTCAATCCACAGTCACTCTCCGAGCCTGAATCCCTGAGCCCAGGGGAGATGGTGGGACTTGCATCAGGGCAGAAAGCGGACTTGGGTGTTAGCTCCTTGGCATTAGCTCCCTATGGGCTTCTGTGTGGGCACAGGGGTGCCAGGACACAGAGGCTGGAAGGGGCCACATCTTTCCACCCCTGCCAGGCTCTCCCAGGCCAGATCTGGCTGCCTCGAGCTCCAGGACCCTGCGGAGGAGGAGAGAGGGGTTCCTCCAGCCCTGGTACCCACTTTGTTGGCCCCATAAGATGTGACTAAGGACTCACTCGTTCATCTGGCCCAGGAGCACCACGTTGGGTCCCGTCCCAGTCAGGGTGGCGGTACCCCCAATGCTGGCCGCGTAGCAAACACATAGGGTCATGGCCTTGCACATCCTCTTTCGCTCTTGGTCCTCCTGCTGCCCCAGAGGAGTGCCTTCAAAAATCACTTGGTTCCCTGTGGCGGGCACAGCGCTATTAGCTAAGCCGCTGATGGGGGCTGCCCACCCAGCCCCAGCTCCTGACTCTGCTGCTGACCTGAGGATTGGGACATCCTAGCCCTGCTGATTTAGCTGCCCCACTGGGTTCCATAAAAGTTGTCAGCAGGAATGTACCCAATTCCTCTCTGCAGCCCCGGGACCTTGCCCTGGGTCTGGCAATCAGGCCATCAGCCCCAGACCCTGTGTCTACCGCACCGGGCCGGGGATGGTAACGGAACATGGCAGATGGCAAGGCAGATGCGAACGTGCCCTCCCTGAGCTTGGCACCTAGCAGGGAAGCAAGCATGGGACACCAAGCCCAAGATCCATGGGAGCAGAGAGTGGAAGGATTTGAGCTACTCAAGAAGATCAGAGAAGGGCTCCTTGAGGATAAGCAGGCGTGGCAAGGAGTGAGGGGCACCCAGTAAATGCTCAAAAGATGCCCAAATGAATAATCGAGTGGATGCATTGATTTCAATGCTCTATTAAAGGATCCAACTTTTATGCAAGAATCCCATTCCTAAAACTGATGACAATAGCATTCTCTAATTGTTTTCTCTATGCGTATTTAAAGGAGGGCTTCAGGAAGCAGACACGGAGAAGGAGGTGGCCAAAGCGTTTGCCAACAGAGGGAGGGGAGGGCTGCTGTTGCAGCCTGGTAGTACCACCAGAGGCTCACCTGGCAGCTCGTTGGCCTTGCCCTTGTCCGCCAGCTCCAGGGCCCCCAGGCCGGCCTCAGGGGCTGTGCTTGTGGCTTCCATCTGCTGCAGCATGGCCTCCACAATGGGCACCATCATGGCTGTGGCGGCCGTGTTGCTGATCCACATGGACAGGAAGGCTGTGACACCCATAAAGCCCAGCATCAGCCTGCAGAGGAGGGGCAGGGAGGAAAGCCAGAGAATCCCCACCCCATCCCGCAACACTTCCCAGGGAGCAACCGTGGATGGGGTCCACCCCTGCAGGGTTGCACAGGTGTTGAGGCCAGTTCGAGACAGGCTATTTGAATAGGGATGACAATTTCAGGGACTTCTCCCTCTCCCTTCCTCTCTCCCTCCTGCTTCTCCCACATACGTTACTGATGTCTACTGTGTTTGCTGCTGGGGTTACCAAGAGGCCTCAGATCCAGTCATGGTTCTAAGGAGCACCCCTGCCCCACTATCTAGCAGGGGAAGCCCAGGCATCCGGATGGTGCCAACTCAATATGGAGCTTGCCCTAGGGTGTGCTGGAATACTCTACGTGCAGGCAGCCCCAGCTTCCCGCTCCTGGCTAGGAAATCCCCATCCACCCCAAATCCTGCCGCACCTCTCAGAAGTTCAGAAGGACTAAGCAGAGTGGGTGTAGGGTGAGCTGGGGAGGCAGCTTGGGTGAAGTGTGACTCTTCTCCCTGCTGGAACTCCACCCCTGCCATCTCCCCCGCACATACACTTTGACCCCTCCACGCTGCCGTGAACCTGATCACACAAACAGTATTCAGAAAATAGTCTCCCTTTGCTTATAGCCCCTGCTCCCTTCTCTGCCATCTATCAGGAAGACTCCTTGTGGTCCCTCAGAGCCTGCCCAAACAATGTCCCTCCTCTGGGACCACCCTATGAGTGTGCAGCAGTTGGGGCTGGCCTCACCCTTCTCAATCCTCCCCATTACTCTCATCATCATTGTGCTGGGTTCAAAGCACCTGTTTCAATGTCTGCTCTCTCCTTAGGCTGTGAGCAGGGCAGGGCCTGACTCTGCTCTGTGGCTCCACACAGCCTAGCTGTACAAGGCTAGGGACAGAAGGAGCTCGCCTGGCTGGGCACGGTGGCTCATTGCCTGTAATCCCAGCACTTTGGGAGGCCTAGGCAGGCAGATCACGAGGTCAGGAGATCGAGACCATCCTGGCTAACATGGTGAAACCCTGTCTCTACTAAAAAAAAAAAAAAAAAAAAATTAGCCAGACATGGCGGCAGGCACCTGTAATCCCAGCTATTTGGGAGGCCGCGGCAGAAGAATTGCTTGAAACTGGGAGGCAGAGGTTGCAGTGAGCCCAGATCGCACCATTGCACTCCAGCCTTGGCAACAGCGCAAGACTCCGTCTCAAAAATTTAAAAAAGCTTGCCTGTTTTTAGCCTGCATGTCCTGCTGCAGTCAGGCTCCTCCTCGGTGCTCCTAGTTCACCCAGGGGAGGAACCTGAAGAAGGGACCCAGGAGCTGTTCTCCACCAGGACCCAAGTTGGCGTCCACACAGGTAGACATTATGGACCCATAAAAACAAAGCCTGGGAGCCAGGCTAGGAGGAGGGTAAGATTTGCACGAATGGAGGTATCTTCGAAGGACCAAGGCTGCTACATGATGTTTCAAGGCATCAAGTTGACCCCCCAGGACAGGCAGTGCTTTGGACTAACTGGAGACCTTGCTCAGAGGAGCCAGGTGGCAGGAAGGAGAGAGAATCGTGGATGAACCTGGGTTTGGAAGGGGAAGCTCTCCAGCATGCTACAGAATGAAACCCACTGGAGTGGCCTCCCAAGCTGGCCACTCAAGGAAGCCAAGAACAAGGATTCTCGGGGCTCCGAGGTCCACTTTCTTGGGGTCTCTCATTTCTGGAAAATACAATGGCTTTCGATTTGATGCTAAACCAATCACTAGAAGGAATCGATGCCAGGATGGGTAACAGAGATCAGAGAGCCACAAAGTCGCCCACTCAGGGGAGTCTGAGACACCAAGGGAGCCCCAGGCATGGGTCACCTGCAGGGCGGCCCAGAGTCTGTATATGCTCAGGGCCCGGCACAACCCCCCACACATGGGCGACTCAGGAGGAATTTACTGTGAACTGACCAGCAGCTGACTCTCGAGGGCTGAGCCCAGGACGTGCCATCACTGAGGGGACACATTGCCTCAAAAGGAAGATGTGCCCTGAGTTTCTGATTAGAGAGGACACAGGCCTTGTCAGATAAGCTGGGTCCAATCCCCACATGACCATGAGCAAATCACATTTTCCCTCTCTGCCTGGAATGCCTCATCTACAGAACGTGGGTGGTAAGAAGAATACTCAGCTCTCAGAGTTGTGGTGAGAATTAAATGAGGCAATGAATAAGCTCCTGGTATCATGCCTGGGGCTGTGCAGACACTCAACATACCCATTATGATTATGATTGATTATATCGACTCCATGGCTGAGCTGGAAATGGCCAGCTAGATTGGCAGGGGAGATCTTGGAAATGGAGAGAGAAGCTGGAATACGGAGCGATGTCGGGGAAGACAAGAAGCTTCTTTGCAGGGGGAACAGATGCCCCAGCTTGGAGAGAGGACATTTCTGCTTCCCCATGAGCTGGGTAGTTGAGCCACTTCTGGTCTGCTTCCCCTCCCTCATCAGGCACAGCTTGATCCAGCCTCTGTTTGATTTGTTCCCTGTGGAACCCTGCAGGTAGCTGCCTCCCACTGGAAGCCTTCCAAGCCTGCAAGGACTCTTGCTAACCCACCTCCTCTGGATTCAGAGGACGCTTACCTACTGCTGCTCACCATGGGCCACCACCACCTGTGCATCTGGTCTCTCCAGCTAAAGCTGTAACTCACCCCACCCAGCCAAGCCCAGGTAATCCCATGGCCAGTCCTCACCAGTGGGTGGTCTGGTCCGTACCACCCTCTACCCGCTTCCAGCCCTGGGGCTCACACAGAGCCACAGGTCAAGAGAGAGAAGGCGTAATTACTGTGCAGGCTTGGCCCCCACCCAGAGGAGCGTGCGCAGGGCGATCCTCTTGTGCAGGTTCCAGCGCTCCACGGCCACGGCCACCATGAGGCCACCCAGGAATAGCATGTTGGTGTCCTTCATGTACTGGACACACACCTAGAGCATGGCACGGAGGCCCCATCAGGGCTGCCCCTTGCCACACCCTTGAGCCACCCAAGTCCCCGGATGCTGACTTGAGGGACAGCTTGGAGTGGGTGGGGATGCAGGCTCCAGCGGCCTCTCCCTGCCATGGGGATCCACAAATGGAGCTTCTCCAGTCACCCCCAGGCCTGCATGGCTCAGAGGGGGCACTAGAGAAAGAGGCAAGGGTAGAACCAGGAAGTCACCAGGATCCCCTGGGTCTGCTCACCTGCTTGGAGTCCAGAATCTGGAAGAGTGGGAAAAGCAAGACAGGCATGAGAGAGGTGACAGCCAGAGGGATGACTTCTGTGCACCAGTAAATGGCCATGAGGATGATGACGTAGGCACACCTGACAAACTGAAGAGACGGTCCTGAGGCCTCGGCGTGTGGCCGCCTTGCTCTCCCCACCCCCAGAATCCCCCAGACAGCGGCTGGCATGGATCGCCAAAACAGCGGTGTCCTCGGAGGGAATCCCCTCAGCGCTGGCATGGATCGCCAAAACGGCGGTGTCCTCGGAGGGATCCCCTCAAAGTCATCCTGTTCCCCAGCCCTGGTCAGCACAGCTTTCCGGGGTCAGGACAGGGAGGCAGGCGTAGGATCTATCCTCAAAGGGCTCCTGCCCTGTTCCCGTCCCTCCTTCGCCTCCTCCCTACTTCCCAGCTGTGTGGTTCCAGGGGAAGTTCTTTCATCTTCTCAAACCTTGGATTAGCTGCCTCTCAAAACAAAAGAGCAAGAATAGGACAAGGAAGAAAAGGAAAATGAAGGAAAAAGGAGGAGGAGGAGGAAGGGATAGAATAAAGGAAGGGGGAAGAAGGGAAGGGAGAAGGAAGAAAAGAAAGGAGGAAGAGGAGAAGGAAAAGGAGAACAGAATACTTTTTTTGAGACAGAGAATCGCTCTTGTCACCCAGGCTGGAATACAATGGCACGATCTTGGCTCACTGCAACCTCGCCCTCCCAGGTTCCAGCGATTCTTCTGCCTCAGCCTCCCAAGTAGCTGGGATTACAGGCACCCACCACCATGCACGGCTAATTTTTTTTGTGTATTTGTAGTAAAGACGGGGTTTCACCATGTTGGCCAGGCTGGTCTCAAACTCCTAACCTCAGGTGATCTGCCCACCTCGGCCTCCCAAAGTGCTGGGATTACAGGCATGAGCCACTCCGCCCAGCCTAAAATACCATTTTTAATGACATGCCGTAAGAATTAGACAAAATCATTTTACAACATAAGTGAAATTCTCTCCATTTTGAAAGCTAAGTGCAATTTTTCTCCATGTTCGTCCTCAATTCTACTTCCTCTTCTCAACGTCCTACCGTGGTCATTTATTCATTTGGCTAGTAATGTTCATGCTGATCATTTTTAAAACTGCAAATACTCTGTAAGTTTGGCAGATCATTTCACTTCCCCTCTGCCTTCCTGCATCTGAGTAAATGTGATTTCTTTTTGGCCCTCAAAAGAATGCTGTGATCACTCTACTTTCTTTGGCTCACCTGTTTTTAAATCGGTCTTTCCTGTTTCAGGAGAGGCTCCTGGAAGCACTTCCTCGAATTCCTAATACCTGTTCCTAATTTCTTTCTCAAAGGGCTGCTCTGAATTTCTCTGCTCCAGGAATGTACCTGTAAACCAGTTCCTCCAGAACATCGCAGCACTGGGAGTTTTCAAGGTTTGCTTGGAGTCGTCTTCTTTTCTTTTCTCTTTTTTTTTGTCGGGGGAGGGGATGGAGTCTTGCTCAGTAGCCCAGGCTGGAGTGCAGTGGTGTGATCTCGGCTCACTGCAACCTCCGCCTCCTGGTTCAAGTAGTTCTCCTGCCTCAGCCTCCTGAATAACTGGGATTACAGTTGCCCACCACCACATCTGGCTATTTTTAAAAAAATTTTTAATAGAGACAGGGTTTCACTATGTTGGCCAGGCTGGTCTCGAACCCCTGACCTCAAATGATTCACCTGCCTCGTCCTCCCAAAGTGCTAAGATTACAAGCACGAGCCACCAGGAGGGCCTTGGGGTCGTTTTCATTACAATTGAGAAGATGGTGCTTGGTGTTCCCACTGGCATCTGTCTAACGACAAAGGCCTCAAGCTAGGCTATTCATATTCACATTTTTGTGAACGTTCCATTCACCACCTTTAGCCACTTAGCACTGGGATTTGGCTTTGGGGTGAGACTGGGCTGGGTTTTCAAACAAGCACTTGCTGGCCTGGCCCCTGTCTCATCCTAGGACTTTCCATCAATAATTTCACCTCTTTGGTTTGAGGACCTATTATCACAGCACAGTTCACAATTTCAAAGACATGAAACCAACCTAAGTACCCATCAACCAAGAAGTGAATAAAGCAAACGTGGTAGATATATGCCGTGGAATACTATTCAGCTATAGAAAAGAATGAAATGATATCTTTTGCAGTAACTTGGATGCGAGTGGAGGCCATTGTTCTGAGAGAAGTAACTCAGGAATGGAAAGCCAAATACTGCACGTTCTCACTTCTAAATGGAAGCTAAGCTATGGGTACCCACAGGTATACAGTGTGGTACAAAGGACACTGGAGACTGAGAAGCAGGGAGGTTGGGAGGGGAGTGAGGGATGAAAAACCACACATTGGGCACCTCATATACGACTCAGGTGACGGGTGCTCTAAAACCTCAGACTTTGCCAGTATACGATTCATCCCTGTAAACAAAAACTATGTGTACCTCTAAAGCTATTGAAATAAAAATGATAATAATTACATAATAAAAATAGCCACCTCCCTAGGTCGTTTCATGTTTCATCAGCATTCTTATTATCATTCTCATTTAATTACCCAGGCTGTACCCTCTCCCTCATTCCAGCCCCCTCTAATTAAATCAGTCACCAAGACCTACGGCACTGACCTCTTATTTTGGGGGCCTCTTTCCCACCCCTCCTTTATCCCCATGGCCACTGCCTTTGCTCAGGCCGCATCTCCTCCTCTCTCCATCTCTCACAGCAATTCTCCTCTCATTTGTTCTTCCTATCTGCATCAACCCATACTGTCCTTCCTCTTTCTCTGTGGCAGATCTGATCACAGCACCGTGTTACAGTGAACCCCAGGTCTCTCTTCAAATAATCAGCATGTCAGTATCTCCAGCTCTCTTATTATTTAAAGTTTAACTTCCTTGTAATTCCAGTAAACAACCTTCTCCACCGGTTCATCAGTAGTTCACACCTGCTCCCCTTACCCCTACACCCCCTCCTCCATCCTGACTCATCCCGGTCACCTAATCGCCAGGCTACCTGCTCTGACACGTCCATAACTGTCCTTCCCACAAAAACACCCACCCTGCCACTCCAGCTTGGACCCCTGCTCTTTTTAAAATAGCCAATCAGGTTTAGTCTATTCTGTGCGGTCTAACCATAGCCAATAGGGGACGACACGGCAGTAGGGACGGCCCCCGTCAGGCATAAGTGCTATTCCCAGCTCGTCCAAGCGTGCGGCGGCATCATTGCTCCATCACGTGGCCTGCACCCTTCTATAGAAGTAAACTGCCTTGCTGAGAGGACATATCTTTGAGTGTTATTTCTTTCACGTCATCGAAATTTTACTTATTAACAACCCCTTTGTTTAAAAGACTCCTGTTGCCTTCAGGACAAATCCCAAGTGCTTCAGGAGGACTTAAAAGATCCTCCTCGAGGGGCCAGGCTCTGTGGATCCCCTCTGCCTCATGTCGTCACCCACTCCCACCCTGCGTTCCAGCCACCCCAAAGCATTTTCAGTAACTGAGGCAGTGAGGGGGGTGCTCTCCCTCTCACAGCCTCCTCCTCTTAGCCAGGCCCTGGGCCTGGGGTGAGGACTCAGGGTTCAGCTCCAAGTTCCTTCTTAGATGTCTCCCTGTGCCCCCTCCACAGCCTGGTTTGTGCCCTACCTCTGAATACCACCCCCCTCCCAGACATTAGCATATGGGATTGTCCCTGTTTCCTCAACTGTTCCTCTACCACTACAAGCAGTGTGTGACTTGAGAGCACAAACAGTACAGTGAGTCCTCCCTTCACACCACTGATCGGTCCTTGGAAGCTGCAATGTGCAAGTGGAACAGCAGAAACCAACACTCCCTTAGAGCAATTGCTAGAAACAACAGTGTCTACAGTGTATTCCCGGTCACGAAAACATCACAGAGCTTCTATACAAAGACCAAAACACTTGCAGTATTAAACACCGAAATAAATGCGAGCTATACAGATATTTAAGAAACATGAATAAAAACAGCTGAGATAATTATTTACCCACTTATGACAGGTTAGGGCCTTGAGTGACCAGAGCCTGTCCCAGCAGCTCAGGGTACAGGTGGGAACGAGCACTGGACAAGATGCCATTCCATTGCAGAGTGCACACTCGCATGCACGCCCACACTCACTCAGGTCGGGAACGAACACACACTCCAATTCACCTAACATGCACGTTTGAGATGTAGAAGGAAACCACAGTACCTGGAGAAAACCCTTGTGGACGTGAGATAACGTGCAAATTCCACAGACAGTGACCCCAGCCAGTAATCATTTTCTTTTCTTTCTCTCTCGCTTTATTTATTTATTTATTTTTGAGACAATGTCTCACTCTGTTGCCGAGGCGGGAGTGCAGTGGCACGATCACAGCTCACTGCCGCCTCCATCTCCTGGACTCAGAAGATCCTTCCTTTCCCCCCCGACCAACATGACAATGAAATGACGTTGAATGAAATGACATTATTCAAGAACCTGCCGTATTTCTAGATTCACTCTGTCCTCTGCATCTAAAACAGGCCTAACACTTAGGATATCTTTGCAAATGCTTATTAAAAGAATCAACGGCATTCACCCGAGTTTAGCTATGACAACGTTGCTGAAGAACAGAGGTACCTGGACACAATCACTGCTTGTCATCACTCAGAAGAGCAAGTATTATTTGCACAACACATTGCAGGAAGACTTAGAAATTCTTCATCTGGGTTGTGTTATCAGCCACAAATAAATAAATAAATAAATAAATCTTTCTTCAGCATCCCATGAGCAACCCGGGGCACCTCCCTACTGGCAAAGCAGGGTTTCTCGGCCAGGCACACTGATATTTTGGGTTAAATGATTCTTTGTTGTGGGGGCTGTGCACAGCAGGATGTTGAGAGCATTGCTGGCCTCCACCTATGAGATGCCAGTAGAACCGTCTCCAGTTGGGACAGCAAACAATGTCTCTGTACTTTGCCAAAGCTCCCCTGTTGTGGGGCAGGGTGGGGGCAGGAGAAAGGATCAATGCTGGTTCACAGCCACTTAACTAAAGACAGAACAGTAGCGTGACTGGAAGCCCAGGCTTTGACACCAGACAGACGTGATTGGCGTCCGTTGTCAGCTACTGTCTGGCCCTTGGCAGTCACTAACCTCCCTGGGCCTTGGTGTCAGGGGTGTACCCCTGGGCAGGCCATGAGAATGATCCCCTCCAGGAGCAGATAATGAGAGGGTGCATTGGAGAGAATTTTAAAACATTAATATTAGCTAAAAATCAATTTGTTTCTTACTATTATCATGAGACGGCAATTCTAAACAATGTCACTCAAAGATTGCCCTGCCTGCTCCCAACCCTGGTCTCTCTCCTCTCTTGTTTCATGTCTTCATCTTCAAATTGGGGATTTAGGAATGCTCATTTTTCACATATGGCACACAAAGTCCTCGGTAGCTTTCGATTCTCTAAATTTAGAAGCAGCAGGTGGCACATGTCACCTGTGTACACTGTACATTCCTGGAGGTGTCAAACATACCCACTAGGAAGGAGGATGAGACACAAAGTTACCTGCCTCCTCATCTCCACCCCACCATTTGGAAGCCCAGGAGGTGCCTCATCCCTGAAGTCAACAGGCTTGACCCTTCCTAGTCTAGAATGGCCCCCACAGTGTCAGGGGAGAGGGTAGGATAGGAAGGGGATGTTAGAAAAGTCTGACATTAACAAGTCAGGGTGTCCTGGCACACCACTTCGTGAAAAAGTGCAGGCAAAACCTACTCTGTGTGTATTTGTGTGTGTTGGGGGGTGTGTGGGTGGGTGTGTGTGTTTGGGAAGAGAGAAAAGAGATTGACTGGTTTCTGGAAAGATGTTCATCAAATTATGAATAACTTATGGGATTTGAGAGTATTTTCATTTTTACTTTATACCTTACAGATTTGTAAAATGAATCCTTTTCCATTTTAATAAAATAAATGATACAAGAAATTTATCATTTATTTTTTAAAATTATTATTATTTTTTGAGATGGAGTCTTGCTCTGTTGCCCAGGCTGCAGTGCAGTGGCGCGGTCTCGGCTCACTGTAACCTCCGACTCCCAGGTTCAAGTGATTCTCCGGCTTCAGCCTCCCAAGTAGCTGGGACTACAGGTGTACACTGCCACACCCAGCTAATTTTTGTATTTTTAGTAGAGATGGGGTTTCACCATGTTGGTCAGGCTGGTCTCAAACTCCTGACTTTGTGATCTGCCCGCCTCGGCCTCCCAAAGTGCTAGGATTACAGGCATGAACCACCACACCCTGCCTTAAATGATTTTTTTTTTTTTTTTAAATAAAAAAGGACCTAGAGAAAGGATAGAGAAAGTAGAACAGAGATGAGGCCAGGAAGGAACCAAGGTAGAGACAGGAAAACTGGAAACAGCGGGTGAGGAGAAGGGCCTGGGTGTTGGCAGAGGGTAGTGTGCCCTGGGAGTCACCTCCTGGCAAGGACTGTGCTGCTCAGGCTGCCAAGGTCCCGCCGGCTTCTCAGCAGCTTCCCAGCTGCCCTGTCCGTGCTGTGTACCCTCTGGATTTCCTTGCACAATGGGGTGGCCATGCAGGGTGGAGGCAGGGTGACCGAAACAGAGGCACAAAGGGAAAAAATAAGAAGACAAGGTCCAGGGTCCTCAACCAACCCAATCAGAAGGAAAGCTCCTCAAGGCAGTCTTTGGAAGGACTCTTCCCGGGTTTTCCTCTTCCCTTCTCTGGTCTTCACTCACAGGACAGCTTAATCTCTCTCCACCCCCCCCCTTCTCTCTCTCTCTCTCTCTCTCTCACACACACACACACACACACATATACACACACACACAACAACAACACACACACACGGCAAGTTGGGGTTCCAGCTCAGTGTGTGTGTGTATGTGTGTGTGTGTGTGAGTAGGGTCTCCTGGGGAAGGAAGTTCAGCCAAGCTGCTATAATTATTCCAGGGAACATCACTCCCTGCCAGCAGAACTAAAATCACAGCTCTCCTGCCTGGCTCTTTCCTTTGGGCAATAACGGCCACAAACCTTTTGCTACAGAGGAAGTATGACTGCTCACAGGTGGTGTGGCAATTCCAGCGCCTCCCCAGTTGGATCTGCTGCCCTTGGCACCTCCAGGGCCTGTGCTAGGCCCACCCAAGGGCTCCTCCCAGTCTCTCTGCCCCCATCCTAGGAATCAACGTGAATCCCTTTTGACTCCCAACGCCTTAAAGTGTCAGAACCAAACCACCTAGTCCCATTGTACAGATGAGAACACCAAGGCTCAGAGAGCACAGGCGCTTGGCTAAAGTCACAAAGATGAGAGAATGATGGAAGTCCAGTTTTCTTGCAGGTTGGCTTTCTGACGCCCCAAAACACCCCGTTCCTCTAGAGCTGCCCCCAGAGCATCCCATGAAGAACTCCTCTGTTTCCCAAACCTGCCTGGGGAGCCTGGAAGTGGGGGCAGCTGGAGGTTTCCTGTCTGGGCTGAGAGTGAAAGGGCTAAAAGAAAGAACAAGGAAGGAGCAGCCAGCAGCCACAAAAGGCTTCAAAGGGCTCGGGCCTCTGCCAAACTGGCTGTGCACAGCCCAGTGGAGCCTGCCCCCACCCTGCGGCCAAGACCATTCATTCTCTCTCTCCCTCCCAGAAGCATTAGGAGACCAGGGCCTGGGAGGAAGCTTCCCTGCAACCCCAGGTCCTGCCACCCAAGGCGTGAGCTCTGGGAATGTGTCCCGCCTCCTGCCACAGCCCCAGCAGGCAGCAGGCAAAGCAGGCCAACTCCCGACCTGCCTGCAGCCTGGAGCAGGATTTTGACTCAGCTGTGGCTCTCGGGGTTGGAAGAAGTATGGGTCATAGACAGAGACACTAAGGCCCAAGGAAGGGCCAGAGAGTGGCAAAGACTGCAGGGTCCACGTGGCGACGATCTTTTCCTGTACGTCCCACCTGACGGCAGAAGACACCTACAGCTTGAAGTCTCCATTGGCGAAGGGAAGAGACAGAAAAGATGGAGGGAAAGGCAAGCTCCCAGGCTCCCTGTTGGCATAGGTGACATTTTGGGGGAAACGGGGTTATGCACTGTGGGGAGATTCCATTCGGAGCCGGGACTGAGTCTAAGGCTGGGATCTGTGTGGCTGAGATCTGTGCTCACTTCGAGGTTTCTGTGCTTGCCTTGACGGCTCTTGAGCCCTGGGATCCGGAAACCCCAAGGTTGGTGCGCCCTGCGCTGGCCATGCCCCTCGGGTTCTTTTCAGGGCACCTCCCATCTGGCACCTGGAGCTCCCGAGTGCGCGCGCCCGGGGAGAGCTGTGCCCCCCGTGGAATCCGTGCGCTCCATCTCGGGGCTCCCGGGTTCGGCGCCCGTTAGTGGGCACCGGGCGCCCGGTGTCCGCGGGGCTGCCTGGAGATGCAACTGACCTTGGCGGGCATCAGAATGATGAGTGGCAGCAGCAGGAGCGGGGTGACGAACAAGATCACGAAGGACTTGAACTTGACGACATAGCTCAGCGCCGAGGCCATCGCGCGGGAGGGAGACTGACGGGAGAGACGAGTGAGGGGCTGCTAGAGGCGCCGCGGGCTTAAGAAGGGGCCGCAGTCCGCGGGGGGTTGGGGAGGGGGCGGTGACAACTCCGCCCCCCACGGTGGGGCCTCCCCGCGGCCCTGGGGGCGGGGCCACCCCTCGGGGTCGGTGGGACGCGCCTGCCCCCAATTCTGCCACCCGGCAGCGGCGGGAGGCCTCTCTGGACTCCGACGCTTCGGGCCAGCCCTCTAGGGGCAGCCTGGGCCCTAGCACCTCCCGCTCTCCAGGCCTCTGCTGCGCTGCCGGGGCAGAAGTGCGCCCCGGGGCTGCCCAGCGGGGCGCTGCGGTCACTGGTGCTGCCAGCTTTGTCGTGAGGCTCCTTCCCGCGTCCGCACCTGCTCTTCCTTGGGCTCTGAAGGGTCCTAGATGAAAACCTCTGCAGGCCTCTGGGTCTCTCAGGTCTCTCTCCCGATCTCCCTCTCCTTTTCACCTCCTTACTTCCGCCCCTACCATGCCTCTCCCCAAGGTGTCCCCGCGCGCCCCGCGCCCTCCGCTTCCCCGTCTCCCCCGGCTTCCTCGCCGCGCCCGCCCCTCTCCAGGTGCAAGACCCCCTTTTGGTCTGGAGCTCCCGGGCGATCGCCGGGGAGGCGAGGCCACTGTCCTCCGCGGTCCGGGCGGCTCTTGCGCTCCAGTGGACACGGCGCCCGGCGGACACCAGGCGGGCAGATGCGGGCGCGCGTCTTGAAGGGGCCGCACTGAGCCCCAGCAGCCGCAGCTGTCCGCCCGACCCAGGTCGCTATTGCAATTTTTTACAGAGGAAAACGGAGGTCTAGAGAGGAAGGGACGCTACTAAGGCGACTCTGAGACAGTCGCCCATGCGTTCATTCAGCCCGCAGGCAACAGACAGGTACCGAGGGCTCCTTCTCCGCTAGGCCCTGTTTTGGACATTGGAGACACGCGGATGCAAGGATATCCCCACCTCTGTGATTTTCTTCTTTCCTCTCTTCTGCCTGCCTTCTCATTCTGCAGCTTCCTTTCGGGAAGTCTCATCCTCGTTGGTGGCTTAACCACAGCCTGCCCCTTAGTCATTATCATCCTCTGCTTTCAACCCAGCCATGATGCCAGAGTCCCAGATTTCCTTATGTCCAACCTTCCGCAGACTGGACGTGTCTCAGTCCGGAAAACTCTATACATCCTGAATCAAGCTCACCAGTCCCTTCCTGTGACCTGCACCCAAAGACACACATTCCTCTAAACCCCTCCTTCAATTACCTCCCTCATGCCCCCTCTCCTTGTAATTCTCATTCACATAGCCCTGGGTTTTCCCCTTTCCTCTTTCACCAGGGCACTCAGCATAATTTGTACCTCTTATATTTATTGGTGTAATTCTTATTTTTTACTTTGTTTTTAAAGTAAAATAAAAATACAAAATACAAATAAAAATAATTAAAAATAATTGACAAATAATTGTCTAAATTTATGAAGTACCATGTGATTTTTCAGTGTATGTGTAATTGTGGCATGATCAAATCAGGCTAATGAGCATATTCATCACTCAGATATTTATCAAACATTTGTCATTTCTTTGTGATGACAACATTTAAAACATCTTGTAGCTTTTTAAAAATATATGATACATTATTATGGTGTCATTTCTATTTACTGTTTTATTCATCACTGCCTATCCAGCTAGCACCTTTCCCAGTGCCTGACCCAGGGTGTGCACTCAAACCCTTTTCTCTGGGATGAATGAATGAGAGTGAGTAAACATCTTTAGTTCTTTCTTTTTTTAAAATTTTACTTTAAGTTCTGGGATATATGCCCTGAATGTGCAGGTTTGTTCCATAGGTATACACATGCCATGGTGGTTTGCTCCCCCTATCGACCTGATATCTAGGTTTTAAGTCCCATATGCATTAGGTATTTGGCCTAATGCTCTCCTTCCCCTTGCCCTGCAGCCCCTGACAGGCCTCAGGGTGTGATGTCTCCCCTCCCTGTGTCCATGTGCTCTCACTGTTCAATTCCCACTTATGAGCGAGAATATTCAGTGTTTGGTTTTCTGTTCCTGTGTTAGTTTGCTGAGAATGATGACTTCCAGCTTCATCCATGCCCCTGTGAAGGACATGAGCTCATTATTTTTTGTGACTGCATTATATTCCATGGTATATATGTGCCACATTTTCTTTATCCAGTCAATTACAATGGGCATTTGGGTTGATTGAGTCTTTGCTATTGTAAATAGCGCTGCAACAAACATATGTGTGCATGTGTCTTTACAGTAGAATGATTTATAATCCTTTGGGTATATACCCAGTAATGAGATTGCTGGGTCAAATGATATTTCTGACTCTAGGTCCTTGAGGAATCACCACACTGTCTTCCACAGTGGTTGAACTAATTGACACTCCCACCAACAGTGTAAAAGTACAACTCCAGTTCTTAATACAACTGCTTTTGAGGGGATTCACCAGAGCATGGACTCTGAGGCTAGTCTGCCTGGGCTTATATGCTGCCCTAGCTCATCCTGGCTGTGTGCCTCAGACAAGTTCTCCTCTCTGAGCTTATCCTGTCATAAATGGAGATAGATAACAGCACCAACTTTGATTTTAAACAGCTGTTTTGGAGATTATATGAGTTCATGCTCAGAGTGTAGATGAAAACTCTCTGTACTATTTTGTAACACCTGGTGAGTCAAACTATTTTAAAATAAAAGTCATCTTTAATTTGTGACAAATAAAAAACATACCTCAGACTGATGAATCCAATTCTTCCCAGCTGTATTTTATGGCTGATATTGGTAGCTGAGAAAATTGTGATTCTAGGCTAGGCACCATGGCTCACATCTGTAATCCCAGCACTTTGGGAGGCCAAGGTAGGCGTATCACTTGAGTTCAAGAGTTCAAGACTAGCCTGGGCACCATGATGAGACCCCCATCTCTACTAAAAATACCAAAAAATTAACCAGGTGTTGTGAGAGGGCGGAGGATGCAGCGAGTTGTGATTGCTCATTGTGATGAGATTATGACATCCAGACAAGCCAAGGAATACAGCAGGTGACTAGGATTTTCTCAGATTTGGGATACTTTCATTTGTATCTTACTTACTTAAACTTAAGTAAGTAAGTTTATTTGCACTTACTTGGGCTTAAAGAGGTATGTGAGTATTTCTATGGACAGAGCTGTTCCCCTGGTCACTAGAGGAGTCTTATCAGTTTTTCCCCATATTTTAACTTGAGAACACTGTTTTATTTGTAAACAAGCTTTGGTTGCTAAAAAGGCAGACCCTGGATGTCCATAGAAGAGAGTATTGGTCGGCGTCCTGGGTTGGACTTGCAACTACCATATTTACGGGGGTGCTGCAAGTCGGCTGGGAGTCCATGGTTTGGCAACTCTGCTCCAGGATGTGAGTAGATGGTGGACGGTTCCACGGCCTTCTGGTTCTGCACCGTGGATGGACTTCACCCTGACTGAGGAAGTAGAGGCTCTTGGGGACATGTTGTTCTCATGGCAGGAGCCAAGAGTGCTGGTGGGAATTTGCAGTACCTCAAAAAGGTTCTGCTCAGGGACAGCGTGCTTCACCGACCTCACCTTCTACTAGCCAATGCAAGTCTCATGGTCAAGTCCAGAATCACGAGTGGGGGAAATATACTCAGTCTATGGGAAGGGGTGGCAAAGTTGGGGGGAATTAATAATTGTGAACAAATAATACAATGTACCACCTACAGTAAACATTATTAAGTCCAGGGCAAGACACCTGTATCTGTCTCTTAGTAAAGTGTGTGGAAATGGTATAAACTTATGTGAGTTAGTTGAGTTCAGTTCTACGAGTTATATGAATTCGAAGATGGTTGTCTCAGGGATGATAATTAGCATATATTCAAATTGGAAAATGAATCAGACTCTTTTTTGGGGCAGGAATTAAGTCTGATTAGGATGATTAATATGACAGTAGTCTACCTTTGCCAATTAGGGTTTATAGAGGATGTTTCCCACAACCAGCTGAGCTAAATTTGCAGCTCCAAGCTTTTGACAAAAGTATATTTGAAACACATGCTACCAGAAAATCATCTACTATTATGTTGGCCAAGAAGTGTTGAAATTAACATTTTTATTACCCAAGATCTTTCTGAGTATACCAGGTCTTAAAAGATGCCTCTCAAGATGATCACTTGAACTCAGGAGTCCAAGGGTACAGTGAGCTATGATCATGGCACTGCTTTTCAGCCTGGGAGACAGAGCAAGACCCTATCTCTTAAAAAAAAAGAAACAAAAGGAACATAGGCATAAATAAACACCAAATTTAGTTTAGCTTTAATCTGTTTAGTTTAGCTCAGGCTGGAAAATTCAACACGTCCTGAATCAAGCTCATGAGTCCTTTAATCACAGGGGGCCTGTGATTAGAGTGATACTTCAGCTGTATCTGAAGTGTTTTATTATTTTTAACTGGTTATGTTTCAGAGATGTTTATCATATTATCCTTTATTCTTTTAAAATATTATCAAGATGTCACAATACACGTTTCTAGCCTTTTTAAAGGGGCCCACATGCATTTAATACTAGAAATGTATTCATGAGATTCAAGGCATAAGATTAAGAAAAAAATATTTCAGACAAAACAAAGAGAGCTGATGTTCCACTTACTGAAAATGTAGTCTCCTCCAAAACTATCCTTTTTTCCCGGAGGCAAGGGTTATTAAGTTAGAGAGAGAGCCACCCAGGATGAAAAGGCTGCATTGTGTGTTTTTAACTTGGGCAAGTATCTTTTTATCACTGTGTATATAAATGAAGCCTGAATGAAAATGTGAACTTTGATCTCTTTCCAAATTGATGCTGAGTCCAAAGTTATGTCTCACCGTAGTATCAGTAGCCTTGAATCCACAGTTTCCTGTGGACTGAGTGAGGTTTCATATTTTCCCCTGCACTCTAATTATTTGGTTCCTTTTTTGTTGAGTGGCATGCAATTCTTAAGCCCTTCCCCCCCAACCCCCAGATGCACTAATCAATAGAAAAGATAAAAATATTTGTGTTGGGGGATATCTTCCCATCAGTAAAATGTGTACATTTTTATGACACATGGCATATCATTGTTAAAGACACCATATAAAGTTTACCCTCTGGATTAAATTAGATGATGATTTCTTTTTTAAAGTAAGTTGTCAGAATCCCCAGTAAGAAATCTGCATTGGGAATGGAAGAGGATTCGTGTGACATATTTCATAAAGACTCTGTAGGACAA